ACTTCATGGCAAGTCTCTCATTAATGTTTTATAATCAACCCACCCTGGAGACCTGACCTGTGACTTCTGATTTTAGGCCGTGGGCAGAGAGTTAGCAACATTAGATTGGAACCTTAAAATCCAAGTTGTGATTTGGATGTTTTTCTGATGCTTCTTGGTACCTGCTCGTCCTGTCTTCTTAAATTAAGTAGAAAAATTATAGATGAAACTAAGTCATACTAAAATGGTAGTGGCTACCAGGAATTTCATTCACTATCTGTCCTATGAAGGTACATTTGTAGTATTTAGATAGTTCTAGAGTTGGGGAAGTGGCTAAGTCAGCAAAGTGTTTGTTGTGCAAGCCCGAAGACCTGCGTTTGCATCCCTAGAGCTCACGTGGAAACTTACTTGTGTGTCTGCAGCCCCGGCTGAGGGACAAGTAGAAACAGGAAGGTCCCTGCTGCTCATTGGCCTTTCATTCTAACCAATCATGGAGCTCCACGTTCAGTGAGGAATCTTGTCTCAAAAAAATAATGTGGAGGGTGATACAGGGCACCTGTTGCCCGATGGTAGCCTCTGGCCTCTGCATGCACATGAGCAGTGACACTGACATGTCTATACTAGCATGCCCACGTTTGCTCAGACACACAAACACACATACAGACACGGGCACACACACACATGCACACTCAGACACACACACAAGGACAGGCAAACACATGCACACACACATGGAGACATACATGCACATACAGACACAGACACACACACCTGGCACACACATGCACACAGACACATATGACACATACTCATACACACAGACACACACACAGACACACACACAGACACAGACACACACACAGACACACACATGCACATACAGACACAGACACACACAGACATACACACACACATACTCATACACACAGACACACACACATACACACACATACACACAGACACACACACATAGACACACACATACACATGCACACATATACACACACACATACACACACATACACACACACATAGATACACACATGCACGTATAGACATAGACACACACATCTGGTACACATATGCACACATAGACACATATCACACATGAACACATGCACATACGGACACAGACATATACATACACACAGACATCTAGACAAACACACATACACATATAGACACAGACACACATACCTGGCACACACATGCATACATAGGCACATATGACACATACACACACATGCTCACATACACATACTCACACATGCAGACACACACACACACACACACACACACACCAGCTCTGATAAACCAATTCAGAGCCTGGTAGAGAGCATGCGATGATGACCTAGGTGAAGCCCTGTTTCACTTCCTGCTGTGCTGTCAGGTCATTTTTCTTTGTTTGCTTTCTGTGTTCTCCTTAGCCTGTAAGTTGGGCTGTGCACAAGCACACACCGTGTCTGGTGTAGAGCATGGCCCTTCCTTTTCCGCTCTCTGCTGTGCACACGGAGAAGCTGGTGCCTGATGACCGCACCTGCTCTAACATTGCTTTTGCTTTTCACTCGAGAAGACTTGGTGTCACGGGGTTGGCAGTGCTATGCCTTGCTTAATGTTGTAGGGCATACATATTGTGTGCATTAAAAAAACATTTTATGTTTTGAACTTTTAGTGACAGTTAAGCAGGGGACGCTACACAGTTAAATAAACAGGTTGCTGACTGGACATACCCAGAAGCCCCTTTTTCCTCCCCAGGATGGCTGGTTCTAGTTTGTGGCACTAGAGTGTGGCTTTTCTTTGGAGGGACTCTACTATGTGGTGGTGGTGGTGGTGGTGGTGGTGGTGGTGGTTGTGGGTGTATAATTGTTAGCCCTCTCCCCCGCCCTTGCTTCTTTTGGTTCACTCACTGTGGTGGTTTGAGTAAGAATGGCTTCCATAGGCTCATGCGTTGTGTTTGAATGCTTAGTCATCAGGAGGTGGCGCTGCTCGGGAAGGATTAGGAGGTGTGGCCTTGTTAGAGGGAGTGTGTCACTGGGGGTCAACTTTGAAGTTTCAGAAGTCCAAGACAAGCCTGCTAGCTCGTCCTGCTGCCTATGGGTCCAGATGTAGAGCTCTCAGCTATTTCTGCACCGTGTCTGCCTGTGTGCCACCACACTTCCCAGTATGACCATAGTGTCTGCCTGTGTGCCGCCACACTTCCCAGCATGACCATAGTGGCTGCCTGTGTGCCGCCACACTTCCCAGCATGACCATAGTGGCTGCCTGTATGCCGCCACACTTCCCAGCATGACCATAGTGGCTGCCTGTATGCCGCCACACTTCCCAGCATGACCATAATGGACTAAACCTCTGAACTGTAAGCAAGCCTCCAATTAAATGCTTCATTTTGAAGAGTTGCTGTTGTCCTGGTGTCTTTACAGCAATAGAACACTGACCGAGACAGCACCATGCTATCACGTGAACTTCTTAGTTTCTGAATCTCAATGTGTGAGTCTACTCCCACGTACAAGACCAGCTTCGAGGTCATCAGATGGTTCTGAGAGGTGGGAACATGGGCATTCTTGTGCTGTGTGATGCCCACACATATACATTTCTGATGGCACTGATCTACAGAGGATTCACTAGATCCCAAGATGGGTATCCATGGAGCCTTCCCACACACACACTACCATTTTACCATTTCCCCAGACTACCTCACTATCAGTACAAGCAGGAGAATTCCATTTGCTCTGGGTTGTACTTATTTTATTTTTTATTTTTTTTTTTTACATTTTGAAGATGTAAAAGCACTCACTGGTGACATGATTTGGCAGCATTTATTAATATAAGAGATATTTACTAGGAACATTTTATGCAAAGTCTAGCTGTTCTCTATTATAAAA